GAAATTAAATTCCTCAGTTGTTTGTGGGAGAACTTTATTAAATAAATTAATGAATTTGAGAGATGACTTGAACAAAGAAGAACTAACATCTCCTCTCAATTTGCACTTTCAAATTTAAATTTTAAAGTTCTAATATTTTGGAATGTGTATTGAAGAAGACCACACTTTAAGTGCTCTCTTTAGATAGGGAAGGGCATGCCATCTCTAGACCGTGATATCTCTTCTAGGTTTGTAATCAGTACTGACCCTTCATAAATCAAAATCAGTAAGCAGCTTTCTCCTTGCTTCCCTTGTTAGACTTACATTTGATCTCCTCTACTTTCCCTTTTTATCCCTGCTCCTGGGGCACAGTCACAGAGTTTGTACTTGTGATGTGCTCAAAATATGTTTGCTGAATTTATTTGAATATCAAGTGCTAACACATATTAATAGCAAAATCCTTTATCCAAAAACACAGTATGGATCTATTCCTATACTACTCCAGCAGTACCAGCTACATTTATTCTAATCTATCCAAAATCCTGGCATTGGACCATTACAGAAAGTGGAAGGCACCAAAAGTTACCAGTTTTATTAAGTGAAGACAATTTTTGTGTAGAAAAAAAATAGGATTTCAATTCATGGTTAAAAACTTACTTGAATATCATTCCCAGCATTTCAGATATGTGATCATGGGCAAATTACTTAATCACACTAAACCCAAATTTCTTTTTTTTATTAGTTTTTTAAATTTTTTAAAAATTAAAAAAATGTTTTTAAATTTTTTAAAATTTTTTAAAATATTGCTTTAATTTCAGAATTTTATGGGGGTACATATATTTTGGTTTCATAATTTGCTCTTGTACAGTTTGAGACAAAGTTATACGTGCGTCCTTCAGGCAGTTAGTGTGCATTGTACCAAAATTTCTTAATTCATAATGTGGGAATAATAGTCTGTCTTATATGTATACTTCTAGGCTTAAATAAGATAATGTACAAAATGCTTAGGTTGGTGCCTGTATAATATGGCTTACAAAAGTAGCTACAATAACTATATTAGGTGGCAATTAATTTTAGTCCTTAGTCAATTATTAATGTGCAACAATTTGCACTTGAAAAACAAGAATTCAAGAAGTGTGAAGCACTTTTTTTTTAGCTAGCTGCTCTTTATCACCTTATGAAGGAAATAGCTAATATGTATGTTAGGTTTAATTTTTAAATGGCTATTACTCTCAATTTGCTTTAATAAATTATTATTACTAACTGCTCTTATAGTTTGTTCAAAATTATAGTTATAAATCACTACTCAAACAGAATTCATCAGCACATCAAAAAAATAATTCACCATGACCAGATGGGCTTTATTCCAGGGATGCAAGGCTGGTTCAATATATGCAAGTCTATAAATGCAATTCACCTCATAAATAAAAACAAGAACGAAGACCATATGATTCTCTCAATAGATGCAGAAAAAGCATTTGACAAAGTCCAAAACACCTTTATGGTAAAAACTCTAAACAAAATAGGGATAGGTGGCTCTTACCTTAAAATTATCAAATTCATTTATGACAAACCCACAGCCAATATCATACTAAATGGAGAAAAATTGAAACCATTCCCTCTTTGAACCAGAACTAGACAAGGATGCCCACTCTCTCCTCTTCTATTCAACATAGTGCTTGAAGTCCTAGCTATAGCAATCAGGCAAGAGAGGAATATTAAGGGCATCCAAGTGGGTGCAGATGAGATCAAACTCTCGCTTTTCACAGATGATATATTATACCTAGAAAACCCCATGGATTTCTCCAAGAGACTCCTAGATTTGATAAATGAATTCAGGAAAGTGTCAGGTTACAAAATCAATATACACAAATCTGAGGCATTCATATATGCCAAGAACCATCAAGCCTAAGCTCAAATCAAAAACGTAATTCCTTTTACTATAGCCCCAAAGAAAATTAAATATCTAGAAATATATCTAATGAAAGACATGAAAGACTTATACAAGGAGAACTATGAAACACCAAAAAAAGAAATAGTAGAAGATGTAAACAGATGGAAAAATCTACCTTGTTCATGGATTCATAGAAACAATATTGTTAAAATGTCAGTATTACCTAAAGTCATCTACAGAATTAATGGAATCCCCATCAAAGTATCTTCACAGATCTAGAAAAAGTCTTTCTTCACAGATCTAGAAAAAAAATAATTCTTCACTTCGTATGGAACCAGAAAAAACTGCATATAGCCAAAGCAATCTTAAGTAAAAAGAACAAACTGGGAAGCATTAGTCTTCCTGACTTCAAGCTGTACTGTAAAGCAATAATAATTATATTAGCCTAGTACTGGCACAAGAACAGAAGCATTGATATTTGGAATAGGTCTGAGATTCCAGAGATGAAACCATCTGCACATGGTAACCTAATCTTTGATAAAGCAGAAAAAAATATACATTGGGAAAAAGACTCTATCTTCAATAAATGGTGCTGGGAAAACTGGATATCTACATGCAGAAGAATGAATCAGGACCCCTACCTCTCACCTCTCACCTCTCACAAAAATCCACTCAAGATGGATAACAGACTTAAGCCTAAGGTGTGAAAACCTAAGAATCCTAGAAGATGTTGGGAAAACCCTTTCTGACATTGTATTAGGCAAAGAATTCTTGAAGAAGGCCCCCAAAGCAATCACCACAGCAACAAAAATAAACAAACGGGATCTGATCAAATTAAAAACCTTTTGCTCAGCCAAAGAAACTATCATTACAGCAAATAGACAACCTACAGAATGGGGAGAAATATTTGCTCTCTACACTTCTGATAAAGGTCTGATAACACGAATCTATCTAGAATTCAAAAGAATTAACAAGAAAAATCAAACAACTTCATCAAGAAATGGGCAAAGGAAGTGAACAGAAACTTTTCCAAAGAAGGCAGAATAATGGCCTGCAAACATATTAAAAAATGCTCAACATCTCTAATCATCAGAGAAATGCAAATCAAAACCACAATGAGATATCACCTAACCCCAGTGAGATTGGCCTGTATGAAGAAATCCCAAAACAACAAATGCTGGCAAGGATGTAGAGAGACAGGAACACTCTTACACTGCTGGAGGGACTGGAAATTAGTGCAAACTTTGTGGAAAAGAATTTGGAGATACCGCAAACAGGCTAGAAATAGAAATACCATTTGACCCAGCAATAGCATTATTAGGCATCTATCCAAAAGAGCACAAGACATTCTATTATAAAGACATCTGCACCTGAATGTTTATGGCAGCACAATTCACTATTGCAAAGACTTGGAAACAACCCAAGTGTACGTCAATTCATGAGTGGATTATTAAAATTTGGTATAGGCTTACAATGGAATATTACTCAATTCTAAGAAACGACAGTGAGCTAGCATTGCTTATATTGTCCTGGATTGAGCTTAAGCCCATTATCCAAAGTGAGGTGACATAAGATTTGATAAATGGGCTCCACCTTTACTTGCCATCAAATTGCTACTGACCAATTATCAATATGGTGCTCAAAGGGTGGTGGTGTTCACCAGAGATTCGCGGGATGGGGATCGGATAGACCCACATCTGAGGGATGTGGCAAACAGTATGGAGGGAAAGGGCATACCTCTAACCCTTGCTAGGTAAAGGCAAAGTTATAAAATTTAACCAAAACATTAAAAAAAAAGAAACATTTATCAGATATCAGGCAGGTGGGAGGGGGGTGGAGGAGATGGGTGTATATATACATTATAAGTGTGATGTGCATTGTCAGAGGAATGGACACGCTTGAAGCTCTGACTTGAGGGGGGAGGGAAGGCAAGAGCAATGTATATAACCTTAATAGTTGTACCCCCATATTACACTGAAATAAAAATAAATAAATACATAAATCATTACTCAATTATAATATGTTATATATTTTAACAAAAACCCCATTTTTTTAAAACTTAATTTTGGAAATGCAGCTTGAGGTCAGGATTTAAGAAAGCTCTATGAACTTTATTTTGATGGCAAGGGGGTGCTATGTTAGACTTTTGATTAGAAATGTGGATTTTTTTTTTCTGAGACAGAATCTTGCTCTGTTTTCTGGGCTAGAGTGCACTGGCATCATCATAGCTCAGTGCAATCTCAATGCCCTGGGCTCAAACCATCATCTTGCCTCAGTTTCCTGAGTAGTTTGAACTATAGGTCTCCACAGCACCCAGCTAGTTTTTTCATTTTTAGTAGAGATGGGGTCTTGCTTTTGTTCAAGCTGGTCTCAAACCTCTGAGCTCAAGTAATCCTCCCACTTCAGCCTCTCAAAGTGCTAGGATTATAGACGTGAGCCACCACACATTTCTGGCCTAGAAATGTGGATCTCTAGATGTTATTTTAGGAAGATTATTTGGATGTTCTGGATAGAGTGAAGTGAGCAGGCAAAGAGCATTTTTAAAGCTGATATTCCATGGAGGGATGAAAAAATGAGGAATTAAGTACTAAATTAGGACACCTTTAGTAAGAACTTCTAGAGGACTTGGGGGTTGAACGTATTTTGCAATTTTTTCTAAATATGTATTTTATTATGCTACTTACTTGCTTAAATTTTTTGATGACTTCACAATATTCTGAAAACTATGTCCCTAATCCTTATTATCATTAAAATTTTTTAGTTTCAGATATATCAGACCTTACTAAATATTAAAAATGATAAGGAGTTTATTGTTTTAAAAGGAAGCAACTTACAACAAGGCATGTCCGGGGTTGAGTTCTTCAATGCCACATGATATCTTCCAGTGTGATCCGTCATTCTTCTCTGCCATCTTTCCTGTGTAGGTATTATGGGTTGAATTGGGTCTCCCTCCAACCCCCAAAAGATATATTTAAATCCTAACTTCTGGTATTTGTGAATGGGACCTTATTTGGAAATGCGGTCTTTGTAGATGTAATCAAGTTAAGATGAGGTCATAGTGAATTAGTGTTGACCCTAATCTGATGTAACTAATGTCCTTATAAAAGAGAAGAGACACAAACATATACAGTGAGCAAAATGTCATGTGAATGCACAGACACAGATACAGGGTGAACACCATGTGATGACAGGGCAGGGACTGGAGTTACGGAGCTGCAAGTCAAGGAACACCAAAGATTACTGGCAACCTCCGGAAGCTAGGAAGATGCAAAGAAGGATGCTCCTCTGGAGTCCTCAGACAGAACATGTGTTTTGTAAGATTTAAATTCTTTTTATGTTGGAACACAGTGATGTTTGAATAGGTAAAAGGTAGCGCTCTCTGTTACAGCTCTGAATGAGAGAAGACTGTCAAACTGGGCCACATGGGGGTTGTACCCAGGGATAGAATATTAGGTGGTGCTAGAAGGGGAAGATTATTGGCATGCCAGATGGGGTGAGCTTGCTTTTTCAGGCTCCCTGTGGATTTTCTAATTTGAATAACATTGCAGGCTTGGGGGATATTGGTACTCCCTAGTTTTCTGGTACCTAGTCCCTGGGGTGATTAGGGTGATTGTATAGTGGCCTGGAGTGTGAGAATCCAATACAGAAGATAATTGGGATGTGGACTCAATCAGCTTCTCAAGAAGGAAAACTGATGAGTCTTTAAGCAGGGTCTCAAAACTGTCTCAAGAAACTGTTAAAAAATAGACTATATTTATAGTATGATGCTGCCAACCACACTTTGATTTCAAAATCCTGTGCTCCAGAACCATGAGAGAATAAATTTCTGTTGTTTCAAGCCACCCAGTGTGTTCTATTTTGTTACCGCAGCCCTAGGAACCCATACAATAGGCAGTATCTGCACTCAAGGAAATGACTAAGTGGACACAATGTGGCTCAGCGACAACAGAGAGTCTGCTTCTCTGTCTCTTTGTGTGTTAGTGAGGTAATCCTTTTCCAGGATTCCTGTGTTGCTCTGGTAAAGCTGCCATAACAAAATACTACAGATTGTGTGGTGGAAATTTGTTTTCTCACAGTTCTAGAGGCTGCAAGTCCAAGATCAAGGCATCAGCAGATTGTTTTTCTCTTGAGTCCTCTCTCCTCAGCTTGCAGATGGTTGCTGCATTGTCTGTGCATTAGAACCCTTGGTGTCTCTCCTTTTAAGGACAGCAGTCCTATTAGATTAGGAACCCCCTCTTAGGACCTCATTTAACCTTGACTATTTCTTTGGAGGCTCTATTTTCAAACACAGTCACATTGGGAGTTAGGAATTCAACTTATGAATTCAGTGGTAGTAGGGGAGGGGTAAAATCAGTCCATAACATGTCCCCAGTAGAAGTTCCTTCATGTCTAATTAGCTAGAATTTAGTGACATCCCTAACCCTAATCATTGGCAAAAAACCCGAAAACTCCACAATTAGCTTTTTCTGAACAAGATTCAATGCTTTTACAAGGAAGGAAATTAACTTTTGTGAACTCATAAGGGGGAGTATATTTCAACACAATTGGAGTTCCTCTTGCAAGGTAGAAGGTGGAATGGCCTTGTAATGACAATAGACCATGACACACAGTCTTGAGGCCTTTTAAAATCTTGTTCCTCCTTCTCTTTAGATTCATATACTTTCACTTCTTGTCTTGTTCTCCACTTTCAGTCACAAATTGTTTTCCTTTTGAGCTATCACATCCTCTTTGTCTTTAATACATTTATGATAGTTTTCCATCTAAATTGGAATCTTGTTGGCTAGATCCTCAAATAGCACACTAATTCTTATCCTTCATGTTTCAGGTTAAATGACATATCCTCAGGGAAGCCTGACTTTTCACATAGCATGTACATTGCTTTTATTGGAACAATTTTTGAACTTTATCAAATATATTATTTAGACAATGTTGTATTCCACACTATACATAAAAAATACATGATAAGAGTGTCCTTAACTATCTTATTAATTTCTCCTACATAGTTCCCAACACTCAATAAATATTGGTTGATTGATTTAGTGCATAGGAATAAGGCACAGGGTATTAATAGATAATTTTGATATTAAGCTTAAACATTTCAAAATATAGTTCAATCCATTAGCTGAGTTATGGAATACAAGAAGCAGAGAGTATTTATAGATAGTAAAACATGTCACTTTTGGTAAACTAATAATGTTCAGATACAGATACATTTTTGATGAATTAAAATATAAAATAACATGAAATAATATATTTTAATATGCTATACCTATATTATGTTCAAATTGAGTAAATAATAACAAGTTTAGGCAAACTGATCATTTAATTTCAGGCAGATAATTTTAAATTATTTTACTTAATTGGTTATTTTAGTTTCTCTTTATGTTGCAAAAACATGGCACCAGTGATGACATACTTTCTATGAATTCCCTTTAAATTGGACTGTTTTTTACAATGTGACATATATGAGTGAAGCTATAAAAATAGGTAGCATTTTAGACAAGGCTAGATTTCCTTATGCTTAGTCTTTGTTGTTTTTCAAAATGCAAGGACATGGCAGTGTACTATTAATATAATAATTATTTATAATAATGTGCTAATACTTAAATAAGGTTACTTTCTCTTATTAGGACAAGTAGTTTCCAAACATTCTCCATGTAATGTAATACTCTCTAGTGGATGGAACATTTTCTTCACTTAAACTTTAATTTTTAGCTATTTCAATTTGTTCTTTGCTTTTCTGGGTTATAAAAGATCCAGAAAGGTAGTTTTTGAATGATTTTTTCACCAAGAGCTTACAAGACATTTTACTTATGAGGACCTCAAAGACTATCCATCAGCTAAGGTTTCAAGCAGATCTTATGGCTTCCATGATCTTTAACCCATGTCATAGTAGCTTAAAATGTTGAAAGATGGTGAGATGAAGCAAAGGAGAAATATGGTACACAGGGAGAAAAGAGCATCAGAGACAGAGCTACTGTGAGAAAGTAAATGGCTCTGGGGGAAAAAAAGACCTGAGAAATTTATGCATGTGAATTTTGCCTGAATTCTTTTTTTTTAATTTCAAGGACAACCTCCATGATATTTGTTGGACCCAGATGAATTTTACACATAAATCCTTTAAAGAATAAATAATACCAATATTGTTTTTTTTTTTTTCGCAATATTGTTTTAACTCTTCTATAAAAGGAGGTTGAAATATCCTGCCTTAAGTCTTAATGTGAGAAGGGAAGTATAGCCATTGGCCTCACTGCATTGGCTTTGAATTTATGGACAGAATGTTTTCTGAATTTGTGTTTATAGATTAGCAAGTATGTTTTTATTTACCCATTACAATGTCACAATTTGAATAATAATTTTGGCACCAATCAAAATAAAAACAAGAATTAGAAAGATTTATATTTGGATCTAATGAGTTTTCGGTGTATTTTGGTGGTGGGAAAAGAGTCATTTAAAACTTGTGAAACATTTTCTGTGCCTAAAGGCAAATATGTTTGCAGCAAAATTTCTTTTTTCTGAGAAATCCCTAGGCTGGACTAAACTTATACATGATTTTTGAGAAATATTAAGAGGCTCCAAATGAAGGTGCTAAATGTTCTCTTACTAATATAAACCAGGTACATCATTACTAGAACTGTCCTCTGTCTTTGTGCAAGTATACGATTACTTCCTCAAGTGTGATTGTGTTGTGTGTGTGTGTGTGTATGTGTGTGTGTGTTTTGAGCAGGAGTTGTCTACAGGAAACAGAGCAGAAACTGGCTGCAGATCTGAAGGACAGATCTTTCCCTGATGCTGTTGTAGATATCTAAATAGAAACAGGGTGGGTAGTGCCAAAATCCATTCAAACAGAACTCACATCCACAAGCTAGATTTGGGGAATGATCTGCTAATTATTACCGTTACCCTGTTTAGGCTGTGGGGGTCCAGCTCATATTTGTAATAAAACCATGTAAGAAGTAGAGGAGAAGAAGCTAGTGTGAGATGAAAAAGTGCTCCCCAAACTTTTGGGGCTATGTATACAACTGGCCTACTTAATATGAGATCAGTGGGATTACATTATAGACATGTTAGGATTCCTCATGACTTCCCAAAAATTTGCTGAAGAAGAGATTTGAATTTAAATATTTGATTTTGTATGGTCATTTGATGTAGTCTCTGACTATTTGGTTACCAAAGAGAACTATATATACTTAGGAATAAATAGGAGCTATCTATCCATTTATCTATTATCTATCTATCTATCTATCTATCTATCTATCTATCTATCTATCATCTATCTATCTATCTATCATCTATCTATCTATCTATCCATCCATCCACATACCTACTTATTTACCTAACATGTCTATGTCTCTATCATCTATTTATCTATTTATCCTATTTTTTCTCTCTCTCCCTCCCTCTGTCTCTCTCTCTTCCCCCTTCCCAACAGTCAATTGGAAGCTCCTTTGTGATTATACGGCTTTTTACAGAAACATGAAATTTCAGGTCTGAAATGGAACTTAAAAGATAAATGGTCCAATCAGCTCTCTGATATTTGATTAAATCTCTGATATTTTGATTGAAATATCTCTGATATTTTGATTGAATCTTTCTCAAGTGCTTGCCAACATCCACATTGTCAGGGATCTCATTACCTATTGATAAAATTCATTCAATGAGACTGAATATTATACATTGGCCCCAGATTTGTCCTTTTGAGCCTCTACCTATTTGTTCTTCCGTCTAGGGCCATGTGGAGACATCATCTGATGTTATTAAATCATCTGATGTGTTAAAATGACCTCTCATGACCCACTTCTCTTCAATAGGTCATATATCTTGAATTCTTCAAACTATTTCTATGGAACAGGGAATTTTCTCCATTTCTTACTTTACAACATCACACTATTACCTATTTAAAAATTGTTTTGAATGGTTGATCTAGCAGGACAATAAAACCATGCACAGGTAAAACTATGCTTATTTTATCATGGATTTTTTTTATTACCTCATATTATGGGGGTACAATTATTGTTAGGGTTACATATCTTGCCCCTGTCCCCTCCGCCACCCCGCTACGCTGGAGCTTCAAGTGTGTCCAGCCTCAAGGTGGTACACACCGCAAACACCATGTAAGTACATACTTTTCGAATAACATAATATAGTAATAATAGATATAGAAATATTTGTGATGAATAGTTTGAAGGGCTCATACTTCATCCTCTTGTGTATTTGTCAAATTTTACTTACTATGTGCCAAGAACTGTTCTAACTGCTTTATCTGCATTTGTAGTCAATTCTATGTTTTTAGTATTATTATCCCTATTTCAAA